CGACTACCACGCAGTGTTCCTACATTTAAATCCCGTTCAAACCCTGTTTTTGTTTTTTGCCTGTTGTGCAAGATAACTGTTACGGGCTCCAGCGGCGCCGGCGACAGACAACTACACCGCCAAAATCGGCTTTGATTCAGATATCATAATTCATTTCACTGTAAAACTATTATTTCCAGGTTTTGAGGACATCTGTACGTACCACCATCTCGGTGGCAGCAACAGTATCTTGGCATAACTTCATGGAAAATGGGCAAAAAAAAAATGTTGTTCTGAAAAAAGCTTGCTATCGAGAACGACTCTAGATTCTGGACAGCAAAGGAACAATTTGGTAAAAAGCACTTTCGCTATGCAATGCGCATAGTTAGAAACATATGAGGCCCTATTGTAAAGTGTTAAATACTGTAGGAAGTGCTGGTTTGTTGTGCTACGCTGTAATTACAACAGAATGTTGAAATAAGTCATTTGCCGCCCTTTTTTTTTTTTCAACTGCCTTTTTTTTCGTCAGATATAAGCTTTTCGCCTATCGCCCATTCAGTTATGGTGGGCCACCACTGTGATCACTCATCACTGACGAGAAATGGCACTAAGTGCACAAGTCTCTATATTCCGGTCATTGGCGTGAAACCCGCTACTGGCCACATCATAGGTGAAGCCAAGCTCCTTGCTTGTCGAACATAACTCTATTGAAGAAACAGCTCCCCTGTTCATCATGGGCATCCGCAGGATTTCCCTTCAAGAGGAACGAATGTTCGTCGTAGCACTTCGCTCCCTATTATGTCGATGTATGAGGCAGATGTTGCGCTCCCTCCCCCTTTTTACTCTTAAGTGACCAGGGGTTAACCACCTGTCACCAACGACTCCAATTTCCGGATCGTCCGCGGGCCCCATCTTCCAAGGAAGGGCGCTTTTGTGTTGGGAGGACGACATCCGGCTATTAACGACCCAGCGTGGCGCCGGCTCGTCTTCTCTGCACCTGTACCGAAAGGGGCACGGGCGGTCAAAAAAAAAAAAGGAAATTACCTCCAGATGGGGCGGGAGCACGCGCACGCCCCTGAAAAAGTTTGGACTGCATCGGAATAGGCAGTTGACGTACAGCCAGCAAGAAGTGCGGTCATCGGTGTCGCGAGTCTTGCGTATGCGGCGAGCATGGAGGGACCCGCGCAACGTATTGAGACAGCTGCAACTCCGGGCACCCTGGTCGTGTGCCAAGCCGGCGAGATCTTTAACGGCCCCCGTCAACTCCCCTACGTGCACCAAGAGCTGGCCTGGTCCGTATGGAACTTTTTATTGTGACTTAAAAAAAAACTGTTTTTTAATATAACCAGCCTTTTTTTAATATTTGTCGTTGTAAGTGCTGCGACGCACGTAGAAATTCAAAAGCGCGACCATGATCTTTTTCATATAATTTTCTTGTATCTCTTTTTGATTTTCATCTTGTTGCTATCTCGTTAATATTCCGCGTATTTGTCTCTTGTCTGTACCTCTTGTGGTGTTCTTTTATAGCATAGTTTGTTATGTAGCCATTCTGTTATTTTTGTCAACTCTTGCCTTTGTCCTATTTTGATTAAATGTTTGCCTGCGTTTAATCCAATGTCCGTGTAAGCTCTATGAGTGCGCCGGTCGGGCCCATACATCACCACACGTGCAACCCCGCACGGGTTGACCAACCTGCAAATAAATTTGAGATATGCCACTTCGAGGCCTTTCAGGCGTCGTAGGCCGAAGCGTAAAATGGAAGCCTGCGAGTCTGCCGCACTTCGATGTTGGATCTGTGGGGCCTCACCCAAAGTGTGTGACACCACCCCTCCCCTGCTGACCTCGTCCACGCGCTTGCGCGTGTCATCCACAGCTAAGACTGAGCCTTGTTTACCACAGAAAGGAACCGACTAGTATTTTTGTTTGTCCAGCCAAAGAATGTAGTGGGCCGCGACCTTTGCCTTTCGTTACTATTCAAGCCACGATCACGAGCACCTGACTCTGCACTGCGTCTTGGACAGACTGGAAAAGAAGCTCTGCCTTGGGCTCACTCGATCGGCTTTTGTGTCCTCGAGTTCGCTACTGCGTGGAGTGTGGTTGTGTAAACGGCAATTCTAGGCACTCGTGAGGATTGCATAGGCAGGTACACTGATAAAGACATGTCGACAACCTTTGACTCAATATCTGTGAAACTGATAATATGTTTCGAGCAGATAGCGCTACAACACTCAATTTCGCTCGTAAGGAACTGGGGGCACGCACCTTTCGCTCGCTAAAAAATGATCTGTTGTATCTTGAGCGTATAGAATTGTGAATTATGCAACGCAGCACCTCGCACACTTACATCGCTCTGTATTAATGTCATTGCAGCTCACACGCGTTGCTTGGAAGTTTCGTCAATGATGCGGGACAAAGAAATCACACTCTTCTGATTTTTGGGGAGGCGAATCCAGTTCGTTTGCAAAAGATCCACCTGAGTGAATAGAAATTGGACGATGCTTGAAGTTCGCCTTCAAGAGTAGGTTGCGGTCGTGTAATACTGCTTCGTGCGCATTGGCTTCTGAACTGCTAACCTGCTTCGGTGCTTCCACCGTGTCGTAAAAAAAAAAAAGAAGGACTCTGCCAGCAATATTGGCCGTTTCAAAATACCAATGAATGAATCTTGCAAGCACTGTTCTAAAATGCCTACTACGCATTATTTATCTTTTTTTCGAAAGAGCGAAGGGCCCGCTACACGTTCGCAGAACAACGCATAGACCTACGCAGCTGCTAACTTTGTTGTTGGTGCTGCTACTGATGATGATTAAATATGTCTGAACGCTTTGTAACGAAGTGAGCCTTTTAAACAACCACTCCGTTTCTCACTTCACATCTTTTGAAGCCTATTGCACTTCTACGCTTCTACAACGCAATATAGCAATGCTTGAATAGTAATCCTTCCTCTACACGACAATCGCGTAGTGTAACTTTCTAAAGCAGTTTAAACTAATCTCATGGCGCAGGGGTAGAACACCCGCTTACCACGCCGACGGCTTGGGCTCGATCTTGAATCTGATGTGAACATTTTCATTATATGCTAAGCAGTTCCTTTACTTAGCCTTCGTAACGCTGTGCCTCCATCCGCACCGCGCTCTCATGGCCGCAGGTGTTGGGGCGGTGCCAAGTAGGTGACGCCTTTCCTCGTAGTGCGCGTGTGTCGACGTCACTCTGTCCTTAGCAAGTCGCCGCTCACTGCGTGTCATCTTTCTCGCTTCACCCTCTCCACCACTCGCAACTTTGGAGGAGTCGATGTTTACGCTTGGAGTCGGCGTGCGCTACGCGCGTTTAACGGGGACCTAGAAGGACAATCCGGAACCTCTCGAAGACGCTCCTGCTCCGCGTGCATAGCCGTTCGCTTTCGTGACGTCGTGATCGTCGCGCTGAAACTTCCGCCGAACCTGCCGAGGGAACAAGTTCAGCGCTGTCTGGAGGATACGCTGACTGATTGCGGCGAAGCGTGTCGACGTTCGTGGGAAACTTCAACGTTGACGTCAGTGGAGGAGCAGGAGAATGGCTCGTTGATTACATGCGTGCCGTGCACTCGCTGATGTGCGTGTCGGCGGAACGGGAATTGGCCACAACAATAAGGGGAACGTGCATCGATCTGGTCTTTGCAAACTTCGACGTAGAATGTCTGCAGGAACCTCTCAGCATGCACTTCACCGATCACAAGGCCGTGGTAGGCCAGGCGAAACGCGTGTCAGCTGCTGTCCAGTGCACTTGTCCTTTCTGAAGAAAGCACAAGACCTACGCCAGCCATCACTTGAAACGAATCTTCCAGCAATCACCGCAGCACCCACGTTAGCGCCGTGCAACCCGTACGCCACCCACGCGCAACGCTGCTGCTTCGCATCCCATCAGCGTTTACTTTGGGAAGGTGTCTGTAATTTTATATTTTTTGAAGTGGTGCTGTGATGCTAACTTGTGCCGCGAAGTTCGCACCGAATCCACGGTAATCTTGAAGGAAAAAATACGGTGAAACTTGTATATCGAATTGTACCAGACATATAACAGACTGCCGATTACCTGCAACATTTACCTGCAACCTGAAAATATACACGTTAGTTCGTCGCAACTTATTCTCGGTTACGTGGACAGACGCACAGACACAAGAAAAGCTGGCATGCATGCAACAGTACTATACTCTGACAGAGCTTTATGTTTGTTTAAAATCAAATTAAAGAGCAGACCACATCGTTATTGTAATTTTATTTTGTGAATAACTATAACAATATTTAAAACGTTCAGTTCACCAAAACTATAGTCTACTACGTAATGTTTCGGCAAGCAACACTAAAAAACAAACGTGTATGTACATGCATATCGGTAACGTTCCATAAAATGCATTACCGAGCTAGGTTTTGCGTGGAACTTCAAGCAGCTGTGGTTGCAACAGCTTCAATGAAAATTATGAAAGCACGTAGCCAATAAAAATAAATCGCAATCCCCAATATCTTCTCAGTATCTGGAGAACGATAAGAGCAGCATTACGATAGAGGCATCCACAATTAGTATGAAGCAATACTCACATTGACCTGGCAAATAGTTATTTACGTCAGAAAAGACTACTCTGGCAAAAGTGAACTAGTTGAACTGTCCACGAGAGAGAATTCAAGAGTTCTCTTACATTGCACCGCAGTTCCCGAATATTTACGGTACGATCTAGCCTGTCTTCATCCGTAGACGGTGTTTGTGCTGTACTGTAACGGGTGAAACGATATAGTCCTACCTCAGGCTTTCTACGAGCATACGGGAATGTCGTCATGTAAAACTTAGAGTCCCCGTTGCACCGTCAAGAAAGTGACAAGGCACCGCTTGTCAAGTCGCTCGCGTGAGCCCTTGATAGCGAAGACTTCGGCCGAAAGCTGCACTTTGTTGCGTTTTCACAGAAAGTGGAAGATTGTTATCGCTGCTGCCTCACCTGATGACGCCAGCGGGTCTGCAGGTGATATATAAGCGCCACAGGTTTGGGCGCCGGGGCATGTCTTTCTGGACATCATGAGAGGCAGCATGAAGCAACTTGCGCTGTTGGTACTCTTCTGCGCGGTTGCGGGTGAGTCGTAGCACTCCATTTAGAGAGCTGCAACGTAATGTGAAGGCTTGGAAGCTCAAGTAGCTTCCTGTGGTTTAGTGTGATTGAAGTGTCTGATTTGGTAACAGCCGAGCTTGTCGGGATAGCCTAGCAGACCTGATCGGCAAGTGTACCATGCAATATGTCTTACCATGTAGTACTGAAAATGGGCTATCGCAGAAAACGTGGAATCATAGCAGCCAATCATTTTCGAACTATCCGCAAACCTTTAAAACACATCATCTTTGCAAATCGTTCTTGGGAAAGCCTATTTTTTATATTGTTCGTCACTGTTTCTATTTCGCAGAAAAAGTACTTACAGGATGAGATGAACCGGTCTGTATTCTGAACATCGTCGCTCTCAGGACACAATATAGGAGTGCCCCTCACTGTTAACAACCAAAGGAAAGTTCCGTTAGATCGTGTGGTCATTCTATAGTGTTGGGTGGGCCTGACTACATCTTTTTGTGATGCAGGGCTGAATTGACGAATTCCGCAAAGAGCAGTAGTGACGTCGATCTGTCTCTTTCGGGTAGTTCATGATTCCCAGGTGCTTTAGATGTCGATTGTGTTTAGAGTAGTGCGCTGGCTAGGCTTCTGCGCTTTTGCTGCAGCTGACGTCAACGTGCGAATGTATTCATTGGGATGTTTTCTTGTTCCTCTTGTTCACATGTAAAATGGCTGAAATATAACAAGACAGAAGAAAAAAAGTAGGAAAGAGGACAGATCTACTTATGAGCACAGCGTCATAAATTAGCCAGCCAGCCAATGTTATTAAATATTATCTTGATTGACTATGTGGTAGCTGGTGCTTTGAAACTATGTTCGCTTCTTATCGAATTCATGAATGCGCTTTAAAAACCCTGATTCGAAAGGCCCATCACAATGATTAGCTTGCTTTCATATTTCTACGGCGTTCTACTTCTGATAAAGCCCACTTTATAGCTATGGCAGTTTGCATGAGCTCGTTTGCGTGATTTCTACTTATACTTTCTTATGAAAAATCAGCGGGCACGATGAGCCACTGGAGTCAATTATTTGGCAAGCGATCTTGCTTTATTGAAGACAGAAAGTGCCAAACTCCGAAGGTAGGCAGCTGAAGTTTCGACGAAGACGAGACCACTTGTAGAGACGTTGCTTGCAGCGACATCTTGTATTCGAGAATGTCTTGCCTTTTCACGTTCCAACGTTTCTCTTCAATTCTTCCCTCTATAGTCGCTTATTCTACACCAATGTTCAGTTGTCGTGACACTGTTTTAAACTATATTACGAAAAAGCGTGCATGGAATACTTTGAGATATCCTTAGGACAAAAAATTTGGTTTCTTGTTGCACGTGAAAGGCTTCATTGAGTTGAGCTGGCTGTATGCAACGTGAACGACCATCAATCAATGGTTCGCCACTAGTGCGTTTCTCTGTGCCTAATGCTCTTTTGCGATGCCCTTGATGATGCGTCTACCGGTGGGGGAGGTGCCTGCATCCCTTCCGTGAGAATGAAGGCTACGAACTCTTGGAGCAATCATCACAGAGACAGCTAGGATCTAATGAATGGGGCAGTAGTGATATGGTCAAACTCCTGTATTATCATTTCCAAATTTCAAAGCGTGCATATACGGCCTATATCAGGTTAGTCAGACGACCTTTTTTAATGAAGTTTGCGCTACAATAATCTGACAGGTGCAGCAATAAGGTTAGCTTGTTGATGGTTCGTTGGGTACATATAATTTGTCACGTGCTTTCAAATTTAGACCGGAAGTGTACAAAAAAGTTTCTGTGCATGCTCTCTAGGCAAGCAGCCTTTTCTAGGTAAACTGCTCGAACGTGCTAAAAGCATCATTCGTTTCATGGTGCACTACCATTCGTTTTAAAGTCGTGGTTGCACAGCCTGAGAAACACTCCCTTAGTGGCCAACAATTTTATTTTGATTAAAATGATTCTGGCTACGCAGCTTCATTTTTTTCCTGTCCTTTTTGTAATTACCATCTTAATACGAAAACTAATGTTTCAAAGGAGTTGTAGCTATTTTTAAACAAACCATAGCGAAAACATCACTATGGGCTTGTTAGCACCCACCGCTGACTACCTTTTGCTGTGACCATGCAGTGACACAATTAATATAACGACACAAACAAGCCGACCCTCTTTCTTATCTTTCTCTCACATTCAAATGCGATAGCAGCGAAAATTCTTGAGGGTCATGTACTTAGCTTCAGGTGCCAGTTCAAGAACTCCAAGTGGCCGAAATTTCCGGAGCCCTTTGTTATGGCATCTCTCAGAATCATAAGGTGGTTTTCAGATGTTAAATCCAACGATCATTATTAGGTTCGAATTCTCACGGCGAACACGCTGAGCGTTTCTTCAGTAAGTGTTTATTGTCTTGTGCATGTTGGTATACTGGCTATTCACCAACGTATAAAGTGGGCAAACATCGCCCGCTGAAGCACTTGAATGACGGAAAAAGAACAAAAGTCAGTCTACGAAACTTTTTTTCCTCCGCACGTATTCAGTGCAGTTCAGAGCAAGTGCTACGGTATGGGGTAGGTGCATAGTTTACATGCTTATGGCCGTGTTTTTAAGAGGTATCGTTATTTATTGAGGCGACTATATCATGCCCTAAGGATGAGCTTTCCACGTGCTGAAACACATCGTCACACATCACATAAATAGAATCATCATGTGATGTCCGGCTCCGTTGTACTTTCAAGTCGTATGTTCTACTCTATTGCGTTTTGTGCCCTCATTATTTTTCGTTCAACTTATTTTATCTGCTAACTGAGAAGGAGTGGCCGGTGCCATCAGAATGGGACCAATACTTGATCATTTCAACAAAAAATGAGGTAATATCTTAATCGCATCAAATAAAGAAATAATTGAACCCTAAAGAATATGGCAGTCTTGCCCACGGACAAGTTGTGCATAATATTCTACATATGCCAATTCATTACTGAAAGCAGTGCATTCCAAGTGTCCCAATAAAAGCACGGCAACGCAGCTACATCAATACGCCTGTTGAGTTGACAGTAAGTTGTGCCTTGGCGACATTCAATGCATTGAATTCTTTTTCTTGACAATGGATCTGATTTTTTTCATGTAGCCGCCGTGGACTTTGAGACTTACTGCAAACCCACGTACGACAGTGGTCCCTGCAAGGGTTACTTTCCGAGGTGGTGGTTTAACGTGAAGACCGGTCAGTGTGAGGAGTTCATCTACGGAGGTTGCCAGGGAAACAAGAACAACCACGTGACCAGGAAGGAGTGCGAAACAAGATGCCTTAGGAAGCAACTGAGTAAGTCACAGTCCACACTTCTCCGAACGTGCACCTCGACGGGACCAAACAGAGGCATGACTGCCTTGCATAGTATTAGCCCTTAGAAACTCTAGTCTAACACGTCAAAGATGATTTTTCACCGAGCTTAGTGCAGAAGCCGACACGCAGACTCAAACGAAGCATCGCCGTGCGAAAAACATTAACAGCGCATTGCAAGTGCTCGTTTTATGTAAGATGTCCCGCAGCAGTCTTTATCTTTAATGAGGCCGAGAAAACTTATCAGAAAGCGCAAAAGTGTTAATTATCTTTATACATGAAAATGAATATTATTAGAAAGTGGAGAGGTCGTAATCATCTTCGAGTGGAAATAGAAAACTCATCGGATCACAGACAGGTCAAATTAGTTTTTAAGCGAGTGTGAAAACCCATTATAAGGCACAGAGGTCATATTCTGTTCAAAGAGAAAGAGATAAGTTTTAAAAAGCAAGGAGGTTGTTGTTACCTTTGCAGCAAGAGAGAAAATTCATGAGAATCCAGAGAACTCATGATTACCTCTAAAGAGGAAGAATCTATAGAAATCAGAGAAGTCATTGTTGTCATTAAAAAGAGAGAAGGGAATTTTATCAGAAGCTGGAGAGAATGCAATCACCTTCAGCACCTTTACCTTTTACAGGCGGGGTAAACTTGGCATATCTGCCCCACAATTTCTGCTCTACCTGAGCAGCTCTTACCATCTAGGTTCAGCTCACCGTACCTCACTCTATGATGTATCTTTCTGGGCACATTGGTTCATACTAATACGAAAAAGCAATCAGCGGAAAACCACACGAAGACATCGAAGAAGAACGACAAAGAACAAGCGCTGTACTTACGTATAAGCGCCGTCCTGTTGCTTCGCTGTTTTGGTGTAAGTTTTCACTGGTTGCTTGTTCTTTTTAAATTACTCCAACCCGCCTCTCGCGAAAAACGTAAAAAATATATAGCACTTTAACTGAGTTGCGCGAAAAAATTGAAGTACAAAAGGAAGACACCTGGACACAGCGCACACTAAGAAATGAAACTTTATCGCAGAAAACAGACATATATGTGCGGTTACGAGAACACGTGGGATGAAAGAAAATAATTAGACGAGCAGTCAGGCTGTATTATTGACGCGCTTCCAGAAAAGCTACCTCAGCGGCAAGTAACACAACCGAGGGTTGCGCGACACATGAATTGCCAGCTTTGTTGATGAAATATGCCTCTTCAATATCACGCGCTTGCTTGTCCCTGAATCTAGCTCTATAACTACCGTATCACCATACAAGGACGCGCAGCTGCGCTCTCAACAATGCAATAATAGTTTAGAGCATGGTTGTTCCTTTGAATAAGCTTTTTGATTCATGGTTTTATTACTGATGCAATGTTTCAATTGTCCAAAATAATACTTTACACACGACAGTGGAGGTCAATTGTGCCGTCGTTGTGGTGTAAGCCACTCCGCTGTCGTGTAAGAAGTATTATTTTGGACAGACAGGACGTTGTATATATATTAGCACCATGGATCACAAAGCTTATATAAAGGGACAACCATGCTCTAACCTATCATTGCTTTGTAGAGAGTGCAGCTGCGATCCCTTCTTTGGGGATACGGTAGCTATAGAGCTACATTCAGAGACATAGCGCGGGCTATTGAAGAAGGGTATTTCATATACAAAGCTGGTGATTCATGTGTCGCGCAACCCTCGGTTATGTTACTTGCCACTAAGGTAACTTTTCTGGAAGCGCATTATTAATACAAGTCTGTCTGCTCAGCTAATCATTATCTTTCACCGCACGTGTTCTCATAACCACACATATATGTCTGTTTTCTGCAATTAAAAAGTTCAGTTGTTAGTGCGTGCTGTGTCCAGGTGTCTTCCTTTTGTACTTCTTTTTTTTTTTTCGTGGAACTCAGTTAAGATAAATTACCATCTCACCCAGCAGTCCGTGCTTCTCAAAATTCACAACTTACTTGTAAACTTTGAAACTATACTAAGCATTTTGTCACACATCTTCCGCTCAAGTTAGACCTCTCGGGGGAAATATGAGCCCATGCAGTTGATCGCTGCTCAAGAATTCGAGATGAACATATGCTTGGGCACGTCACGTTAGAGAAAGCTGTTGCTCTCCGGTTCTTTTATGTTTATGATGTTATCTTTATATCTAGAAAATAGAACCTTAGAGAGTATCTGACTTTCTTTAAACATGTAGAACAAGATGTACAAAGTAATTACGCAGAAATCGCCCAAATGCTTCTTGAGAGTACGTATTTCTTCGCAGAAATACAGTTAATAATTCAGTATTCTGCATAATATTGAGAGATAATTTGCTGTATACTCATTGGTTACTACCTGAAAAAAAAAACAGCGCGAAAGACGTCAGAGATACAAGTTGATGAGGGCGGAATGCGTGCGCTATCCTGGTATTCTGTCCTTAATCCTTCTCCTTTTGTCCTTTTGTGTATCCGCCGAGTCGAAGTTGTTTTTTTTATGTATCCACCTTCTTACTCTCACGCACGTCTCTACCTTACTGATGTACGTTACATACTTTCCACGAGTGTCTTCCATGAGTGTGCAATCTGTGAGTCTCGTTACGTACGTTACATTGGAAGTCTGTCATTTCTATCAGTGCTCTACAATGCTTCTGAATATCGTATGTACAGTGGACGTGCCTAGCAGAATAGAAAACTAAGAGGACAGCGCTGGCTTTCATACGCGTAATTCAGTTAGTCTGCGATAGTTTTTATCTTTTTTTAGCTTCCCACAATTGTCGCGCTGCAGCTACAGTATTTAGCCTGAACCAACCTGCCCAAGTGAAGTTTCTTTTTTTGTCGCGTTTGAAAATACAGAGAAGCCTGATTATTAAATTGGTATCCAGGTTTCACAATACAAAATTACAAAATAGGCGCGAGTTATTGCCTGTTCTAGAAACCAAAGGGAAAAATTAGGCAATGGCTGCGGAATTACTAAGCCTTACAAATGGAACTTTGAAATTCTCTGAGCAAGCAAAATTGAAAGGCGAACGTTTTTTTTTCTCATATTAGAATGTTATCATTTTACAATGTCATAATCACTAGGCTCGACACGAGAAGATGTCTTAACATGAAAAATAAAATGCGTGAAAAAGTCTGCGTCACAACACCCCCTTGAAATTCCCGCACCAAATGCCGCGACGTTGCACATTACGACGGCCACTACTGGGTCTTACGTACACTACTCGATGCTACGTAAAAATGAATTGGATTATATAATAAGAAAACTGCACACTTAAAGTACCAAGTTTGAAAAAAGCTTCGCTGAGCGAGGTCACAAAATACGAAAAGGACATCTTGAAGTTTTGACATTCCAAGCTCCAATATCAGCCCGAGATTTAAAAAAGAACTTCGACTTCGATTCGCACCTGTGTTGGTACTAATAGACCTGTGGTGATTAAAGCAATGGCGTTGGAGTTGTCAGAGCCAAATTTAAAGAGCTGGAGGAAATAATTGTTTACTTTTAGTGTTTGTCCAAATACTGTGTTCAAAACATTCATATAGTATCACTTAGCTACGGCAAACTGCCTACATGTTTGACTACTTCTACCTATACCCTGCAATAAACTGTCTCATGCTTTTCCTTATTTCACTTTTTCGCTTCGCATAGTAGCATGGCTAGACTAGAGCTGTGCAGGGGTATAATTTCTGAATCTGATCCCGGCCCGGGCCCAATGACTGCTTCTAAGTCGCACCCAAGCCCAAAACTGAAGAACTTCGAGCCCACCCTGCACAACTCTATGAAAGTTTGCTGCGGAGAGTCTATATCACTTTCCGATAATGTGGCATTTCACTCAAACATGGGCAAACAACACATGTTAGTGTGTGCACGCAGAAGAAGTTGTGTAAAAAATAACAAGCTGTGCAGTGATTTGTGTTTGAAGCGTGGCGCTCCTGCATCAGATATCCCACCGAATTGAATTTCCGGTCGCATGCTTTTTTGCAATCATAGAAAACTTGGTATGATTGAACTGATTGTTTCTTGAGAAGTTCAGTATCATAGATGCAGGACAAAAGTATGACCGCACAGATGAATAATCACAAAGGTGATCTTGTGTGCTCATCGCTAAGCGCTGGAAAAAAATTGGTACAACTTTGATGTGGGCTCTGTAACGAGCCCGGCCCACTCGATGCCCGAGATGAGTAGTCCGAGCCCCACCCGGGCTCGAGATCAGAAGACGTCTGTCTACTCGAGCACGGCCCGTAGGCCAGCCAGAGCTTGGGCTTTTGGGCTACCTGGAGCCCGTGCACATCTTTAGGCCAGACCATGCACCTGCCCAGGACAGCCTCTCAACCTTATAAATTCACTATCGCTCTTCCCCTTCAGATATTATCACCTCGGAATACAACTACCATCTGTTGCGGTGTTTTCTGTAATGAAGTAGGTATAGTCATGCCTGCACTGCGAACATCACGAGGGATGCTTGCCTTGTCTTCCAGGTCGGCTGCATTTTTCCCCACCGGTGGACCAGTACCCCTACGGGGACACCGAGCGCTCGAATGAGGAAGTGCCGGAGTATCCGCCGGTCCATCTCAACGGTCAGAGGCTAAGTTGGATACTTATTGCATTCATTTCTTTCACAATCATGTTCTTGCTGCAGCGAGCGGCTGTCAAGCAAGATTCTTGTGGAACAGCGAGAACACGGGACACTGAACGCACAGGAAACAACGCATTTGTCCTGCGCGTTTGTGGTTCCGTATTTCACGCTGCTTTTCCACCATCTTCATGAACCTACCTGGCCACCTGAAATTCTTTGTTATAAGCAAGTGCACGTTATTACATGCCTTTTACATGTGCGCTTCATTTTGTTCACTCCGCATATCTTTAGCGGCGTAGAAAACTATCTCTTTGGCAGAACACATACACCATTTTCAGATCGCGCTCCAGCACCGTTATCTTGAATAGATAACGTTACAGTTTTGTATGCGTATAAAAAACACGCACGGCTATGATGAACTCGTGCGCACGAACACGCTGAAGCTGGTACAATGAATACTTAAGGAACATTCATGATTTCATATTCCTACACAGAAAACTGGCAAAACAATCGCTTTTGAGTCAAAGATGGCGGTGCGCATGAATAAAAAATAAATTCGTGTATATTGACCCGAGCTCTTTCTCGGCCCAAACTGGACCGTGTCACGCGGGCGCTTGGAGGTCATTGACCTGATGGTCTATTGACTCAACTGTCAAGCTCGAGCTGTCACACCGGTGATTTCGAAGGCTATCAATAGTCCACCGAGTGAACGGAGCAACCAACACCTCAGTTGATACATATGTGGCTTTTGAGTGATAGAAACGGAATCAGCGCGAACGTGTTAACGTTGACAAGCGGTGACAAAGTCCAGGGTTTCACTACTCAACAATTTAAAAACGAAACATTCACTCAAAATTACTTGCGTAAACAATTGATCAAAACGCGTATCAGAAATACAGACACATTTGTACTTTTAGGTTTTTTCGTCTTATTTCACTTACGATAACGTGAAAACGACAATAAATATTTGCAGCACCAAAAATTTTTTCAAGAACCACCTGAATCTCTCAAGGTCCGTTGAAAAGTGTCGTGTAGCAGCGTGACAGCACCATCGAGCCGATGGAGCTGCAGCGTGTAGACGGCCGTCAACGCGATGTCCTTTAAAAAGTGTTTAAGTAACACAGTTTTCAGGCATTGCAATTCTCACCATCCTATCATACCTATTCATGACATCTCACTGGCAAATATATATATATATCTATATCTATATATATATATATATATATATATATATATATATATATAATGAGATATAACAGACAGTAATGCCAAGGAATGTACAGGGGAAGTTATTAAAATCAATGGAATGTAAATAAGAAGAAAGAAAGTGGATGAAAAAATTACCAACTGTGAGCAGGAATCGAACCTACGACCTTTGAATTACGCATTCGATGCTCTAACCACTGAGCTATCACAGCGGCCCTCCCTCCATCCACCAGGTCTGCCAGTACAAGACCCTCGTGTGTTTAGGTTGTATAAGAGGGACAATCAATCAGCTGCCCGCTCATAAAAAGTTCACGTGCTACGTGACGCCAAACATGCGCATAAAAGTGTTTTCACACTCGTTGTTTGGCTTATAAATGGCGCTGACTGTCGCTCCTACTTCTAAATTCACAGATAAACCCAAAAAAGTGGATGGAGGGAGGGCCGCTGTGATATCTCAGTGGTTAGAGCATCGAACGCGTAATTCGAAGGTCGTAGGTTCGATTCCTGCTCACAGTTGGTAATTTTTTCATCCACTTTCTTTCTTCTTATTTACATTCCATTGATTTTAATAACTTCCCCTGTACATTCCTTGGCATTACTGTCTGTTATATCTCATTATTATTGTGTTAAAACACGGAAAAACGAGCCCTTAGGTATACACTTCGTTCCCTTATTTCATTGAACGAGGGTCTCGTACTGGCAGACTTGTGTGTTTCGTTTACGTACAGTTTTGTATGCGTATAAAAAACACGCACGGCTATGATGAACTCGTGCGCACGAACACGCTGAAGCTGGTACAATGAATACTTAAGGAACATTCATGATTTCATATTCCTACACAGAAAACTGGCAAAACAATCGCTTTTGAGTCAAAGATGGCGGTGCGCATGAATAAAAAATAAATTCGTGTATATTGACCCGAGCTCTTTCTCGGCCCAAACTGGACCGTGTCACGCGGGCGCTTGGGAGGTCATTGACCTGATGGTCTATTGACTCAACTGTCAAGCTCGAGCTGTCACACCGGTGATTTCGAAGGCTATCAATAGTCCACCGAGTGAACGGAGCAACCAACACCTCAGTTGATACATATGTGGCTTTTGAGTGATAGAAACGGAATCAGCGCGAACGTGTTAACGTTGACAAGCGGTGACAAAGTCCAGGGTTTCACTACTCAACAATTTAAAAACGAAACATTCACTCAAAATTACTTGCGTAAACAATTGATCAAAACGCGTATCAGAAATAACAGACACATTTGTACTTTTAGGTTTTTTCGTCTTATTTCACTTGCGATAACATGAAAACGACAATAAATATTTGCAGCACCAAAAAAATGTTGAGAACCACCTGAATCTCTCTATGTCTTTTGAAACGAGTCGTGTAGCAGCGCGACAGCACCATCGAGTCGATGGAGCTGCAGCGTGTAGACGGCCGTCAACGCGATGACCTTTCAAAAGTGTTTAAGTAACACAGTTTTCAGGCATTGCAATTCTCACCATCCTATCATACCTATTCATGACATCTCACTGGCAAATATATATATATATCTATATCTATATATATATATATTATATATATATATATATATATATATAATGAGATATAACAGACAGTAATGCCAAGGAATGTACAGGGGAAGTTATTAAAATCAATGGAATGTAAATAAGAAGAAAGAAAGTGGATGAAAAAATTACCAACTGTGAGCAGGAATCGAACCTACGACTAAGAGGGACAATCAATCAGCTGCCCGCTCATAATAAGTTCACGTGCTACGTGACGCCAAACATGCGCATAAAAGTGTTTTCACACTCGTTGTTTGGCTTATAGATGGCGCTGACTGTCGCTCCTACTTCTAAATTCACAGATAAACCCAAAAAAGTGGATGGAGGGAGGGCCGCTGTGATAGCTCAGTGGTTAGAGCATCGAACGCGTAATTCGAAGATCGTAGGTTCGATTCCTGCTCACAGTTTGTAATTTTTTCATCCACTTTCTTTCTTCTTATTTACATTCCATTGATTTTAATAACTTCCCCTGTACATTCCTTGGCATTACTGTCTGTTATATCTCATTATTATTGTGTTAAAACACGGAGAAACGAGCCCTTAGGTATACACTTCTTTCCCTTATTTCATTGAACGAGGGTCTCGTACTGGCAGACTTGGTGTGTTTAGGTTGTATAAGAGGGACAATCAATGAGCTGCCCGCTCATAATAAGTTCACGTGCTACGTGACGCCAAACATGCGCATAAAAGTGTTTTCACACTCGTTGTTTGGCTTATAGATGGCGCTGACTGTCGCTCCTACTTCTAAATTCACAGATAAACCCAAAAAAGTGGATGGAGGGAGGGCCGCTGTGATAGCTCAGTGGTTAGAGCATCGAACGCGTAATTCGAAGGTCGTAGGTTCGATTCCTGCTCACAGTTAGTAATTTTTTCATCCACTTTCTTTCTTCTTATTTACATTCCATTGATTTTAATAACTTCCCCTGTACATTCCTTGGCATTACTGTCTGTTATATCTCATTATTATTGTGTTAAAACACGGAAAAACGAGCCCTTAGGTAAACACTTCTTTCCCTTATTTCATTGAACGAGGGTCTCGTACTGGCAGACTTGGTGTGTTTAGGTTGTATAAGAGGGACAATCAATCAGCTGCCCGCTCATAATAAGTTCACGTGCTACGTGACGCCAAACATGCGCATAAAAGTGTTTTCACACTCGTTGTTTGGCTTATAGATGGCGCTGACTGTCGCTCCTACTTCTAAATTCACAGATAAACCCAAAAAAGTGGATGGAGGGAGGGCCGCTGTGATAGCTCAGTGGTTGGAGCATCGAACGCGTAATTCGAAGGTCGTAGGTTCGATTCCTGCTCATAGTTGGTAATTTTTTCATCCACTTTCTGTCTTCTTATTTACATTCCATTGATTTTGATAACTTCCCCTGTACATTCCTTGGCATTACTGTCTGTTATATCTCATTATTATTGTGTTAAAACACGGAAAAACGAGCCCTTAGGTATACACTTCTTTCCCTTATATATATATATATATATATATATATATATATATATATATATATATATATATATATATATATATGTGTGTGTGTGTGTTAAAACACGGAAAAACGAGCCCTTAGGTATACACTTCTTTCCCTTATATATATATATATATATATATATATATATATATATATATATATATATATATATATATATATATATATATATAGCATGTGGTTTTAAGAGCCAAGCCTTCACATTGATTGTCTGGAAAGCTGGTTTTGGCTGCCCAGCATATATAGTCGCGTACGTACAGCTTCACATTGTGTGTCCAACAAAAGAGCAGGCATGTTTTGAAATCAATCTGGATCTGGATGCAGCGAGCGTAATTTAAGACCCCATGTTATTTTATGAGCTCATCATTGCTGCACCTGAGCTTAGCAGTCACGAATGTTGTGGTCAACTTTCCTGGTGGTAACAGCCGATCGTTTGATTCGTATTACTTAGTTTCCACGACTTGACATGTCCAGGGACAATCTCTGAAGCATAATATTAAAATTACAAGACTATACTTTTTCAAGAAATTTTTACACGCGTGGTTTTTCTGGGATACTTTGAGATCCAGGTCAGTTAAAAATACCAAAAAACGCCACCATCTCGCAAGGCATTCCACAAGGCTCTCAAAGTGGCCCTCTAACTGACTGCATTGGTAAACTTGCGATTATCTGTGAGCCATTTTTCTTTTGTTCACGCACGATGTACTTGTATTTGCCGCGCCACGGTGGTCTAGTGGCT